AATACAGCACCTTATGCAAAATTTATTTATATGCTTTGCTAAATAATCGTCTAACATGACTACCAGTTATTATTCATTAGACTGTTCCATTGAAAAACTAATCTATCTAATTTTTACGTCGATCAAACACATATTTATAGATTTGACTAGAAATATCCTGTTTTCATAACTTAACAGTTTGATTGTTGAAATTTTGTACTTGAACATCGTTTTTCATACAGAAAGTTGCAATAAACTATTGCTAGATAATTTTCATTATATTTAATCAAAGACAAATTATGAAATAGCATCAATATTGTTTATAATTAAGTCACAATTCTTTGTGTATATCTTAGCCACATATTCCAAGACTTCTTACTAAGCACATTTTAATTTAATATATTATAGATGAATAAAAGCAATCTATCTGATTTCACTTTCATGGATACCTCACAGAAGTCTATTTAAGACATGCTTTCATGAATTATTTGTATAAGTGATGAATGCTTACCATGATTGATACAGCACATGTAAGATGCTGCTTTAAGTAAAACCATCAGATCGAGCAGGTAAACCATTCCAAGTAGCCATATATTATATCCACAAGTAAGGATACTGTCGAATAAAAGCCAATGAGATTCAGACAAAGACTTGAATCAGTTACATCAATTAAAGAAGACTTGTAGGGACTTCTAATGAGTTATGAAAGTAAAACATCCTGGATAACGCTGACTATGGTTGTCAAATTCATCATTAGTCTTGACAAAGTACTTTCTAGATACGTTAAGTAGTAACGATGACAAAAATATCCGCTGTCAAAGGTAAACTGAAAAATTTGAAGTAGATTAGCAGCCAAAAATTTATCGGTGACTAAAGTAGGAAACGAAAATTTTATCTAAAAACCAATAACAAAAAAGTCCTTGAAATTGTAGTTGGTTAAGATTTTCAGTTTTTTGTTCGGAAAAAGCATTTAGTTTTGATATTATGCTTTGAAAATGTTCTCGATTGTAAGCTTCTTCAAAGATACACGCTATGACAAAAACCAAAGAACAACTAATAACTTCGAGAAAATAAAACGAAGCACAGTTTATTAGAAAAATAAATGTAGCTGCTTCGAATTTCTTTTTCGAAGTTATTAGATCATCTTCGTTATTTAAAACGGAAGTGTACTAACTATATTTAGCATAAAGGTTTTTACCTTGATGGGTTTTATTTTCACAAATTCTGACTAAATTAATATGATCAAACGTCGATCAGTATTGATAATGTAAATCTTCAAACAATAAACCATAAATATTTAATGCCGGTCTTCGCTCCAGTCAGATTTGTTAATCCTATTTCATCAGAGGAGAGTTGTCTAAGTAAACTGTTATCGTCTATTCTAAAACCATAGTTTCCGTCACGAAATAAAAACATTAAATTGTCATTCTTAACGGTTGTTTCTTATTGTTGCTTATATTATCGATGGCTTGAACAACAGTATGTTGCATTCATAATATAGATGTTAGCGTTTTATCGATAGGAATAAAACAAATACATTTTAAATCTTCAACGAGAACTGACAAAACTATTTCTTCACGTGAACTATAATTAAAACATTGTTGACAATAGTTTAACAATTCGCAATCAGTTTGATATATTATTTTTCCTGCATAACATAATTCATTTATGGTATTATGTATATTTTTTAATTCAATAATCTTTTTGTCTGATTCATTATACTTACGCAGGATGATGAAGTTTGCGTGCTATCGAAACAATCGTACATAACAACTTCTTGTTCAAGTAGAGATGATAAGTGATTTACGACTGTAACAATATGACTGGAAATACAATTGGTAGTCTTTTCGGACAGGAAGAATTTCTCCCATAATTTCAAGATGAATAATTCAGATAACTGTTGACTGTCTGATATAGATATGACGTCGTTTTTTCCACTAAAAAGCGATCTGAATGAAGTTATCGGATCACTGTTTATTTCTTTTCTTTATTGTATTTCAATAAATTCATGTCAATAACATCATTTTGTAAATGATATTCCTCATCATCATTTAGTAAGTTTAGTCCAACATCTAGATTCGAATTCACCAGTTGAGTATTACTGGTGGAGAGATAGTTGACGTTATCGATTTTTTCTTCTAATAAGTGTAACTAGTTTGAATGTTGACGACAAACATATGACTTACATGTTACATAGTTTGCGTAGGAAACACTACTTGTTGAATATGAATCACAACCGATGTAGAATCTTAATTCATTTTGATGGAATATAGTAATGGACGGGAAAAAAAACATCTAGAATGCGATAAACTCGTAGCTATTAGAGCAAGGATGACATAAAAACGATGACATGATAATTTTAGCGTTAAAAATGCAACATTATACACACTGAAATAAAATGTATCGCACTTATGTGTCGTGAATAAAAATGTTGTAGGCTCAATGAAGAAAACATGTCGTGGTTAGCGTTTGTTGTATATAAATTTGTTTCGTTCTGTTTGTTGATTATTCATTCACCGTTTTATTTTGGAAATACAGCTACATATAGAAAAAGTGATTGATCATACAAACCTTACATATTTTCATATTAATTATTTTTTCAGATTGTTCTTCGATTATTTATTTGTTGAGAACATGCCGATCTTGATATATGATCGAAAGAGGACTACCCTGAAGCGGTCTGATGGAGGTCGGGCCAGTTCTAAGCCGAACAGATCCCAAGATCTGACCTGATTGAGTTTTCAGAATAGCAATAATTAAGTGGAATTAAATCGAAAAATATGTAATAAGTTGCTTTCAAGAAAAAATTCAAAATGCGAAGTGTAACAGATGCGAACCATGTTTTCAAAATGGGTAACATGTGTCGTATTAAAATTTTTCTTGCCCTTGCTGGACAAAATGTGTCGCAGCGAGCACCTCACGTCGCACTTGAACGTGTCGTACACTGTGTTGCAAGTACGACACATGTGATACATTTTATTTTAGTGTATAGCAGAGGAAATTATTCGAGAAGTATCTAACGAAATTATTGTCTTTATTCATATCTATATCATTGGCAACTGTTTACCAATAAGAAACTTATACAATACATTAATCCAATCGTTAACAAACATTAGAGCAGGAAACATTAATTTTTCATTTCCTTTTATTCCGCACATTCACATATCCTCACTATACAGTTGGATTCACTTTGATTGGTTGCAGTTTAACATCCAATAAGTTGATTAAAAACAGCGATCCACTGATCTGTTACTTTCTATTATGATTATTTTACGAGCAGGAACTAAAAAACAAGAATAAAACCTTCAACACACTGGTATATTCTTGTTTGATATCTGTAATAGTGTTTGTAAAATATTTCACGTCTATTTAATCTGATTTTGATCTGAATACTCAAATGACATTACTGAACGAGAAAAGAACAAGTCAAAAACGTATTACCATATTCGATCCATACAAACAAAAAAAGATGGAAACATTTTTCAAAATGATGATTTTTCAAGTTTTTGAAAGTATTTGCTTAAACTAAAGATCTTCAACATGGATCGATTATTCAAGACTTCATGTCGTCTAATATAAAAAACGATTCTAACCTATTGACTTCATTAATTGATCTTTATAGTAAGTATCTATCATACATTTTTTTCTTATTTCTTTTTCGATGGTTCAAATGCAATGTGATGATGTGGTCCGTATGCAATCATTAATTGATACTTCAATTTAGAAAAAGCATAGAGAATGTATGGAGCGATGGTGAAAGGTTATGTTTATTTATAGCGTCATATGAATTGTTAATTAGAGTCTTTTTATCAGGCTATATAAAATAACAACATGGCAAATAAAGCGATTAATCTTTTCAATAAAATTGCAAATCCAAATGAAGTTTTTTAAAATCCTGTATTCAATACTTGTGTTCACATCGGAACTAATGAAGCCTTGAATTTAGCACAAAAAATTTTTTCAAGAAATTCTTTTCATTCAAGTCCTTATCTATTAAATAATCCACTGGATAAACTGTTTACGTGTGGAGATTGAATGCATGTTCACATTCAGGACTTATTGATGAAGCTCGTTCAATTTTACAAAAATACTCCAATGAAAACAGAGATAATTGAGACTACTATTGTCCATACCAGTGTTAAATAATCGTGGTCATTTTTTGAATAAATTTTGATCGACTAAGGCTATCAAGGTCGAGGTTGCGTAGTTAGAAAGAGCGGACTTCGAGGCATCTTTCTATATAATTCATTTGAAACCACAGTCACTTTTTTTTACGACTGCATATACATTAGTATGCTGTTTTTGTGTTTTTTCAACAATTTTTTTTTGACATTCTAACTTCCATTATACCATATTGTGGCCGAAATTTCACTGTATATACGATCAATTTACCATACATCAAAGTGACCTTGTTGAAGAAAAGAAATCAAAAAAATAAGGCGAAGACGTCAAAGTTTTACTATGTATCCAGCGGAATTCCAGCAACAATATGATATAATGGAAGTTAGAATGTCAAACAAATTCGTTGAGAAAACACAAAACAATATACTGACGTATATGCAGTCGTAAAAAAGTGTTTGCGGATTCAAATGAATTTTACAGAAAGATGCCCCAAAGACTGCTCTTTCCAACTATACAATCCGAGCTCGAGAGCCTTAGTCGGTCAAAAGTTATTCAAAAAATTGCCACGATCATTTGACTCTAAAATGGACATTAGTTGTTAAGTGACTCTCAGATATCAATGATTTTGATTCTAGGCAAAGAGACAAACAATCAATGACTGAGAATTTTCTGGTCAATAGCTTTTTATGAGTCGGATCATTCGACAACTTTTTTCTTTTGCTTTAGTATTCGCGATAGTTTGTTAAAAACAATGATACCGAAGTCCTATTTGTGATGCAAACTATGAACATTTAGTCAAGAAGAAATAAAATGGTCTTGATTAAAAGAATCAATAGAAATATAACTAGACACTTGGAATCGGCCAAGAATTATTTGTCTAGTTTGAGAATTGAATATGATCACTTTCGCGACTTGGCTGCTTTTTTGGCTTGATGTCTCAAATATTTGGCTTCACGTTGACCAGTTTGCGAGACAAGTTGAGAAAAATAGGATTGATCGTCAATTAATAACTCATGAGCACTGGCAAACTCGACAGCACGTCCATATGATAACACCTAAATAACCAATCATACTTCATCACAGATTAAGAGAGCTTTCAAGGTTTTCTTACTAGGATTTTATTGCTATCAATAATAGTTCGTAATCTAGAATATACTGTAAAGTAGAATCACATTCAAGATGTTGTCTTTCTTACCGATGAGCTATTGTTAATACGGTACAATGAACAAATTTACGTCGAATGGCTAATTGAATGATTTCATCTGTCCTACAAAACATAAAAGTTATTACAGTGAAGAACAAACAAAAACCTTATGGGCTTTTGAAAGATGTTTGATTTTTAGCCACAATTCAAATAATTTTATACCCAAAAGCAAAGACAAGATTCATTTTCATCACATATTCAAACCAGACTATTTGTGAATTTACTATACAGAAAAACAATAATTACTTATGATCAACATTGGCTGTAGCTTCATCAATAAGAAGTATTCGATTTTTTCGAAGCAGTGCTCGAGCCAGACAGATCAATTGTCGTTGACCCACACTAAAATTCAATCCACCTTCCGTTACTTGGTGTTGAAGACCTTCGATCAAATCGAATTTAAATTGAATCTGGAAAATTCAAACACATCATTCATTTACAATACAGATCAGCTTTTGATCTACCTCATTGAGTGCACTCCATATTTCAATATCGGAATATTCACCGAATGGATCGAGATTAATTCGAAGAGTATCGTTGAAGAGAACAGGATCCTAGATTTTTTTTTTTATGAAAATAATGTAAAGTACAATTTTTTCCTCTAGTGACTGACTTGAGGAATTATTGAAATATGTCGACGAAGTTCATACAACGAAATCTGTTTTATATCCGCCCCATCGATCAATATTTGACCATCAAGTTCAGCCATACGAAATAATGATTGAATGATTGAACTCTTACCGGCACCAGTTCGACCAACGATACCGATCTTGAAATACAGAAAATAATAATAAGTCAATAGTAAATTGATAGAATATCATCTTTCTAATTCTCACTTTTTCGCCAGGTTGAATGGAAATACTAATATTGCTAAGTACCCATGATGAATCTGGTGAATAACGAAACGACATATTGTCGAAAAGAATGGAACCAATTGGCCATTGTGGTGGTAAAACAATCGATTGAGCAAACGTTGACGATTCTTCCGGTTTCAAATCAATATATTCAATCACTCGTTCTGTGCTAGTCATCTTTCAAATAATGGCACTATTAACAAAAGTGTATTTTTCTCAGCCATAATACATTACTTGCATCATGACATCAACAATCAATCGAACTATCCATTGTACAGAGCCCATCAATGTAAATGAATAAGCCAGTATAAGACCCAAATCAGATACAGGCAAATCTATTATCAATACAGTCGATAGAGTCCGAGAGAGAGAGAGAGAGACAAGAACTTACTTCGATGAACAAATAACATCGAAAACGTAAGAAGACCGATAAAGGCTGCTACAACAGATTCGATTCTCATTGCTAGCCATCGATTCATTATAAGCATTAAATTGTAAGCACGGCTGTGCTCATCAAGATAATAAGAAAAATCTCGAGTACACATTGTTTGTGCTCCATAGGAACGAACCAATGGTACACCTTGAATCGTTGAGGAAATATGAGAATAGATTGGTGATCGACCTAACAAAGATTTCAAAATCCAATGAAGAACAGGAGTACAGAGAGAGTCAATATACCGAGACTTTCAAGCCGTTTTATGTCACGTATTGCTGGACTAAAAGTCCGACGTATCCGTTCTAGTATGGTACCAACAAATATTAATGATATTAATGACAATGGTTGAATGAATGCGATAAACGAAATTGTTGAAGCAATATTGGAAAATGCCTAAATTACATAATAAATCATTTTCATGCAAAAAATTTACGTTCAAACTGATTTCAATCTGATTATATCAATATATATGGAATACAAAAGGTTTTTGTCCATGCAAGAGAGAATGTACAATGCGAAGCATTTCATTATCATTTCTTTGTTTCGATAGTTTTGTTGCAGACTGTTCAAAATGTTTCTTTAGATTACCTCAGTAAAATTATATGTCGCTTCAGACAGTCTTTCATCAATTGACGAGATATCTTTTGAAAAACGGTTTATAATACGACCTAAAACATAAAAAAACAAAATAATCTATCTACTAAAGTAAATAATCAAATCACCAATTGGATTTGTATCAAAGAAGAGTACAGGCGCACGAAGTATTGAACTGAACATTTGATTGTGAAGTGTTCGGGCAGCAATATGAGTGGAGAGAAAATAGAGAATTGTACGTAAAAATAAAAGGATGATGTTTAACATGACGAATCCTAGATTTAAATGATGCATATAGTATGTGCCTCCTTGTTCGATCGATGATACTAACCGAGAAGGACATAGAAATAATTGTCTCGTTTGCTGTGCCATTCATTAATTGTCATATTCCGAATCGATGATTGATCTTCAAGAGCGCAACTGTCATTCGTTGATTTTGATGCATAACGAATTCTTTCAGCATTTGACCATCGACCTAGCCACCAATTAACAAACAAAGTAAGCGCACTAGTTGTTATGAATAATAGAAATATGATAATGATGCCAAAGGTTCCACAAAGACTGGCTTGAATGTATCGAAGATAGACACTACTACTAACTGCACCAGTACGCTTGGACTCTTCTGATTGCTTTTGCACGGATTTTTCAACAGTTTGTGTCAGCAATTTTTCCGCTTCGTTATTACTAGGTGGTCCCATCAATAACTAAGAAAAAGTAAATTTCTTCATTATTCAACACTCAAGAACAAGTTTGTCTTACTGATAATTGTGTGACAAAGTCGGGTACGGCTGATGTATACAACGGACTAGTTGGTTCTGATGTAGAAGATGAATCCAACCGCGAAATGTTCGTATTTGTCTGTGTCCATTGTTTGAATTCAGGACATGTCTCATATAAATGTGCATAAGTTCCACTTGCTACTTGAGTGCCCTAATTAGGATAATGAAAACAAATATATATATTCATACAATATATGAGTTCAGTTTATTTTGATCACTTTATCGAGGAATAAGATTGTCGTCGCATATTTCAGAAATTGAATTTGATGTGTAACTAAAATACACACTTTCGAGCGTAACTTTCCCAGAATACATCTGAAGAGATGAAATTAAACTGAAATTGATTCAATTTCAATAATCTACTTTTCGAATATGTGTCGAGCAACTTGCACATCGACAGCTGAAAGGGGATCATCGAGTAGATAAATATCTTCATCTCGATAGAGTGCTCGAGCCAATGATAAACGTGCCTTTTGTCCACCAGATAAAATGATGCCATTGTCTCCAACTAAGGTCGAGTCACCATATTGAAAATTCGCCAAATCCTATATTGATAGTGCTAAATAATCAACCACAGATACAAAAACAAAAACAAAAACAAACCGTGTCGAGACTGGCAGCATAAATAGATTCATTGAATTTTTCCTCATTGAATTCCATTCCGAAAAGAATATTTTCTTTAATCGAACCAGAAAATATCCATGATTCTATGAAAAACAAAACTTGTAATTTACGACCAGATTTTTGCGTCTAAATATGTTCAACACGTAATGCAAATGATGTTCATCTAGTTTCTATGTTGTTTTAGTAAAGATCAGCATAACTGATAAGAAACCTATTTTATGTTATCATGAATGTTCTCAATCCATTAATTGTTGTCGAAGATTCACAATTTTCCATGCGGCAAACGTATAGAATCAGCTAAATTTTCCAATATGGCTTTAAATCAAACGTGTCCGAAATGATGAATAGAACTTTCAACAAATGGCATAACTAATGATGCTTGAATTAAAAACAATTACATTTTCGGGATGTCTCTTATTATCAACTTCAACAACTCAACTTTTATGGTTTTTATTTAAATAGTTCCTTTCAATGTGCAAAGTAGTTAAGCAATTCCGAAATGCCATTAGTATTCGTCCATCGCTTATCGCGAAGAATATTTTTAGATGTTATCATCATGTCACACTGAAAGAACGAGTATTTCATAAACTTCGTCTAAATATGCATGAATCTGTTGAATTCATTTGTTTAAATTACCTTGAGGCACATAACCGAAACGAGCATTTCTGTTTAATTTTATGGTACCACTAGTCATTTTCATTTCGCCAAGTAAAGTCAGTAACAATGAACTCTAAAATTTAATCAATGAAAAGAAAACAGACAGTATTTTCAGTCTGGTATCATGGTTATTCTTTACGTACTTTTCCTGATGCGATCGATCCAATAATGATAATCAATTCTCCAGTATGAGCCGAAAATGTCACATTGCGTAGACGAAAGGAAGAGTTCTATGCAACACAAACGAGACTATCATCAGATCACCTCTACATTATAATTCTACCTCCCAACTCGACGACAAATTTTGAATGTCAATAGTCAATATATTTTGATTATTAAATTCATTTTGCATGATGATCATTTTCGGTTGATTGTATTCGTCAGCAGTTAAAAATGCCTATTAAAAGATATGAAAATGGCAAAATATAAATGTTGTGAGGTATAAATTTCTACCTGAATACGTTGTACGGCTACCCAATATTGGGCCAGATTCACACAAGAATTAGCAAAACCATGCAAATAAGTATGTCGAAGATAGAAGATAAGCACAAAAGCAATAGTAAAAAAGTCTGTATTGAATGGTGCACGTCGATACCAGAGAAGACCAAAAATGATGAGAAAGAATATCAATGAAAATGAATAACCATTGACTATTTTCACACTATTCACCACTGATTTTAAAATAACATAGAAAGTTTCTTTTCTAAAAAAATAAGATTTATATAGCTAAGAAAAACAAGACATCATTTTCAAGTTACCGTCGTACGCGTTCGACTTTTAATTGAAATGGCCTTTCCCAAACGTACATTTTAACGAGATGAATTGATTTAACGATTTCATTCATTAATTTGATACGCAAATCTGTTTGTCGAACACGTTGTGTCCTGAGAAAAAAAGCAGAGCACATTTAGAATTTCTGATAAATCATTGAACGCGAAATCACTATATCATACCAAATAATTTGCATAATTTTACCACAGAGAATTTGAATGGAAATAACCAGCAGTGTGTATATCATAGCCAATAGAATGGTGAAACCAACATGTGTCCAAAGAATAGCCAATACAACAATAGTTTCTAATGTGCCGAGCCAAAGATTATGTCCATCGAGTCCTAGATGTTCAACTGTTTGTACATCATTCGTCATGATATTGATAATTTTTCCACTTGACTGAGTCCCTAATGATCCCATCGACAATCGGACTATCTAATAGATATATTTGATGGAATGCATACAAAAAGATTTCTGATTATTCTCACTTTGCGAAAGATTAATCCGTGGTACGCACAACGGAGATGCATACCGGCAAGAAAACCACGTATCAAACCCATATGTCGAATTGTGAACATTAACCAAGGAAAAGCACTGTTGAGTGCAGCCCAACATATCACTTCTGGTAATGATATTTTCGAGCAAGGTATTAGACAACGAATGAAACGCGCAAGTACGAATGGTTGAATAAAACGAAGCATTGTCTACTTAGAAGAACACTATTACAATTGAAAATTCAGCGAAATACTATAACACATACATAGATGAAGAGATAGATGCCGATGATAACATAACGATAACGGTATATTGACCAAGTAGCACGTATTAGTGAAGGCTCCTGTTTTTTCTTAGTCAATTTAGTTGACAGTACAATTTCATGTTCCCATGCTCTATAAAGTAAGGAAAACTATTGATGATCTATTAAAAAATGCTTCCATCAGAGTTATATCTAGATTGTATTTTGAAGTTAATCTATTACATCTCAACAGATAACTAGATCTTGATTTCTTTTTTTTCAATAACAAGTATAATTTAGACATAGAACATGTTGATACCTATGCACAATGCTCCACTCAACCAGCTATCCGATAGGAATTTCGACACCTCGACTTAACGAAGGTTGCTGTGGGTACCGAAATGTCAAATGCATCCTTCGGATTCTCACTTTCTGATAGGTCAAGAGCTCGACAATAGATCAGTAAAACGCTAAGTTTTCGATTAGTGGGATGATTTTTACAGAGTGGATATAAATTTAATCAAAATAAAAAGGATTTTTTCCTAAAAACGCCTCGTTCTCAAGTCGTCGAGACCTACCGAATCAAGGCAGAGGATAGGATTCGAATATGAGTACTTATGATAAACATCCATTGAACATCTAAACAAAATATGAATCCCTTGTCCTTCTATCAAAGTTATCTTCTCAATTCATACAACAATAGTACTCTCAAGATTGTTATTTTAACATTGGCTAAGAGTTTTTGATAATTAAATTTTTTTTCATTGAATGAAAACACTTTTTCACGTGTCTCTGACTACAGAAAAAAATCTTCTTGTTTTGAATCTCAGGTACCCTTATAAAGAGCTTATTTGATAAATAATTACTTTGTGTGATAAAGTATAAAATGAGTATTAAAAAAAAATTTTAAAATTTAAACCGTTAAATTCCTTATGACTATATTTTTCGTCAAAAACGTTTGTGAATTATGGTTTTGCTTGTTATTTTTCATCTGTTAATGTTAAATATTTAATAGAAAATTATGAAACTAAGGAAAATATATGTCAAACATATATCATTTTACTAAGGTAGCTGAATGGAAGAGATATTTGTAAATCACTTCTTAAAGAAGTTCCACGAAATGAAAATAAATCTCACCACTTGAAACTATTATTCTGCTTAGTTTGCTTCTACTGAAGTACACAATATTAGGCTTCTAATATGTTTCTTTTCACGAGTACTTGAGGAATCAAAAATGAATATTTGATAGAATACAGTTTTCGAGTGATCGGAATTCGATGACTGTTGAGGGGCTTAAAATCGGAACAAAACGAACAAAAAGTATACTTTACAAATTTTCGAGCGCTCGTCGCACCAATCGTATGGTTTTTAAGGTCTGCTTGAGAAAATCATTATTTCATAAGCTATAGTAGATATTCTTCGAATCGAGACACAAAATTAACATGCTCTTTTGTCATATCTAAAATTGCATTTTCTAATGAAATAAGATCATATGCGAAATTTCAAAAATGCCACTTAAATTTATTTATCTTCTCACCATTGAACGAAAGACATAAATTAAGAGAAACGGTAAATGATGACAAATATTTCCAAAAAAAATCACTTGAAATCACTAGAATTAATCAAAATTGATGGATTTACCACACCAAACAAATATAGTGCTTTTAGAATGATTATCCTTGTACAAAGTGAATGAAACATTCAACAGGGTACTTGTTTGTGTTTAATTCATTTGGTTCCTATATAATGCTTAGTTTTCGTCTTACTTTTCCAGTCGATCGATCCATGGTTCACTTTGATCATCCGGTAGTAAATCGAAGATATCATGGTATTCGAGAGGTCGTTTACGACGTAGCGAAAGAAGACTTGATATCCACCTGAAATGATATGTCAATATTTCGCTCCATCAAGAGGAGTAATACAGATACACTCACGAATGAAACAGCTTACTAAAAATACTCGCTTTTAAATAAGGATGCTGATCTTTAGACATTTGCAATAAAACGATATATGACTGATGAAGAGGGCGTCGAAACAGGAGTGAGCACTTGCTCGGTCTTTATCTACTTTCAAGCGGACGCCTCTGTGCCACGATGTTTTTTCTTTCCACCCACTCGCCGTCTGCTCGGTTTTCTTTTTGCTCTGTTCCTCTCTTTGCTTATTAGATTCTTTTCGTCAAGACAAATAAAATATGACGAAATTTTCACCGTTTGTTTCTCTGTAGGCCACTTTTAATGGATTGAAGTGCTGTAAAACAAACTCAAAAATGCCCATAAATAAGTCAATGAATAATATTTCAAATAGCTACTCTCTATTTCAATCAAATGGGCTTAATTTTAATCGATGATAGGCGTATGCTCAAATTTTTTATTTATTTATACGAGAATGTGCTGCAATATTATAGTTAGTTTCAATCAGATAATGTGATCATGTGGAGATTTCGTAGCTCACTATGTTTCTGTATCATAATTGAGAATATAATACACTTCGTTCTATGTAGCTTCGCTAAAAGTAAGTACACTCAACGGAAGAAAAGCATAACTCCAGTAGTTTGAATTACAAGTGAAGTATCACGGAGTATCAGTACAGAATAGTGAGTATGGCACTTCAATCATACCGCATTCATACTTCGAAGTACTGAAGTTAAACTTTTCTTCTTTGAGGAAAACATCTTTGTAATTTGAAAAGAGGCAAATCTAAATCAACTAGTTTAAGTACCTTAAGCCGATCAAGAGTTTCTTGTGCAAAGTAATTTTTCTAACGCACAGTGTATATGTCCATTAGTCGATTTTGGATAAGACCACATTTTCAGATTGAAGCCCATATAATAATAGTTATATATGATATTGATTAAATGATTTTACACGTCTATGATAGACTACAAAGTTAGACCATTTGATTGAAATAGACGGTAGATATTTGAATTATTACTCATCACCTGATTGATTGAAAATCCAGAATATGCTCTAAGCATTTTAATCCATACCGGGCAGTATACAGAGAAATAATAGTTAACATTTTGTCATTTTCTATTTGCTCTTGAAGAAAAGAACCAAACGAGTGAAGAGAGGGAGATAGCAAAAAGAAAATCGAGCAGACGGTGATTTGGAGGAAAGAGAAGTCGTCATAGCGCATAGTCGTCCGCTTGACATGAGATAAAAACCGAGTAGGTGTTCACTGTTGCTTTGATGCTGTCGTCATCCATCATACATAGTTTTAGTAATGATTTCTAAACTTTGGCATCCTTATTTGACAGAGAATCCATCTATAATAAGGATTTACATTCTTGAATATATCTGCGTTATTTGTCTTGACAGAACAAAATATTGATATAGTATTTCAGATCAATGTGGGCGTAGAGCGAGCGCTGATTTACTCCATATCCGCTATCCTTGATAGATCTCAGAATCCTTCACAGCCATTAATGAAACATATCGATTCGAAGAGTGGAGTTTAATTGCTTTTAAGTAATTAGGCTGTCGATGTTTCGAAATAGTACACTACCAACTAGTTTACATAAACTAAATAGAGAAATTAAAGTTAGCTTTCGGACTACAGAATGAATTTGGTGACGTACCGATAATTATATTGATCATGAATACAGGAAATCAATTCAAATAATATCAATCATAATTTTTAGGCAACAAAAAAAATAGTCGTGACTTGTAGCAGAACAAACAGATCAGTTTTTATTCTTTCAAATCGATGTTCAATAAAATTAAGAAGACGGATGGTTGAAAAAAGACATTCTTTCGTTCTATATTTGAAAGCAGTAGTGAAGTTATTTTATGCTCATAATTTATTGAACAATGAATCTAGATGTCAGTGTGAGTTGGCGGGTCTTCTCCTTCATCAGCTATACACACATTCACATACACAATCGTGCAGAACTCAAAATCAAAAATTGAGAGTATGTATGTGATTGTAGGAAAAATCCACGCAGATTCTCATAGCCGCATCCTCTTATTATCAGTGACTATTGGTAGAAAGCTGTTGACACTGGTGGTTCCCCATCATCAACTTATACGAGCCATCAATAAACCTGTTTATGAATTATGTCTGTAACAGGAGAACGAATACTGGTTTATACCAGTTGTCGCTTTGGACTGGTGAATAATGGTCAATACTGCATCCACAAGAATGTTCTCAGAGCTCCCTCAGGATTCACATTTATGTTGCTCTGAAGAGCGCGAACAATGAAATATTCTTTTTGTGATGTTATTTGGGTGTCCCAAATAGGCATGCACCAAACCCAAACTGTTTGGATTTGGTGAGTTTGGTCTAATGAGTTTGGATTTGGGTTTGGGTTTGGGAAATGAGTTTGAATTTGGGTTTGGGTTTGGTATCCAGATTCACCAAACAGTTCGGGTTTGAGTTTGGATTTGGATCTTTTTTCCATTGCTACCTCTATATGTAAATAATTTCTTCTATATATAAAAACAAGCAGAACAAGACTTGTACGTTTCATATATGTATATAACCAACATAAACTGGAACGTGAATAGATAATCAAATTTGGGTCTCTAGCCCAAACCCAAATCCAAACTTCCAAACGGTTTGGGTTTGAGTTTGGGTTTGGTGCATACCTAGTCCCAAATGAAAAGGAAACATGTGTAGTTATACAGTTAGTTTCTGGAATACTTTTGTACGAAAATCGCAGCGCTTGCAAGTTTCAATGAATTTTGAATGCCCTCATCGAGACCAAAACTGTGGAATTCAAGGGGGAAACGAATGACTTTGTGACTTTTTGTTGACTTAATTGACTTAAAATGAGTTTCGTAACTTTAATGACTTGAAAAAATGTACACCCTGAATAAATGTCTTTCTTCTCTTTCTTATTATATGATCATACTTCGGATCAAATTTATTACTATGTAAAGTTATGCCATACGAGTTTTATTTCAATTTGATGTATGGATCAGATTGAAATAAAACTCGTATGTCATATCTTTACTTGATAATAAA